GAATCATGATGAGACTCGGGTGATAATAAGAATAGGGGTTTCATTCTCAGTACACAGACGGCTTCCCACCATTTACAGCTGACTCTGTAAGGCAGGTGGCCTATGGCAAGGCAGTTGGGCCTCGGTGTAATAGGGATTCAGTAAATTGCTGTGTCGTGTGTAACTCTTTGGACTGAGGCAGGCAGAGAACACGGACTCTGGATATGGTGCTGTCTTAGTCTGTGTGGGCTGCTGTAACAAAATACCGTAAACTGAGTAGCTGATAAACAACAGACAATTATTTCTCATAGTTCTGGAAGCTGGAAAGTCCAGGATCAAGGTGCCAGCAGGTTTAGTGTCTGGTGAGAACCCACTTCCCAGCTGGGTTTACATGGTACAAGGAAAGGGCAAGGGAGGTCTCTGGAGTCTCCCATAAAGGCACTAACCCCACTCAGGATCCCTCCATCCTCATGACCTAATCACCTCCCAGAGGCCCCCGCCTCCTCATATCACCACATTGGGCATTAGGTTTCAACATATGAATTTCGGGGGGACACAAATATTCAGACCATAGCAGGTACCATGTCTTTGGTGGCCTCCTGCTCCTAAGCGTTGAAGTTGAGAGATACTCAAGCTCCCGTGAATGTCTGGATTTCCTTCTTTTTGACAGGATGAAGTATTAAATCATTTCAACATATTGTACCCTTTGAAGTGTTAGAAGTTTAGCAGGGAACTGGCACTTGCCCTCTTCTCACTTTACAGCTTTTCGCTGGACTGTTCTGACAGCAGATTAAAGTGTGTGTGTTTTTAATTTGGTGACTGTGAATTGGATTTGTGAAAAATATATTATCTTCATTCTGAAATTCTGAGTGGTTTCTCTGGACTATTTTCCTGTCCACAAAATGCAGAGAGAAAAAAAATCTGAAATTCATCCTGCACCTCTCCATTCCCCTCGAAAAGGATATAATCTCAAATTTGGCAACCAAGGATCGTAACTGTGGCTGTAGAACCACATGCTACCCAGTTTCTTGAAATACTACTAGAACACTAATATTATCGACAATAATTGTTTAAGGTCAAATAAAAAATCCTTAATTTTATGACTCAAGCACACTCAGTTGGATGGGGCCACTTTGGGGCTGGGGAACGCATTGGAAAGCTGCCTGTTTTCTTTTCCTTTGCTTTTTGAGCGTTTTTTTAGATTGATTTTTCCAGAAATGTGGGTGAAAGGAAGGTCCTAAGATACAGTTTACATAGAAAATCCACTGTATTTTAAGATTTTAAACAGTCTAGTTCAATCATGGGGCCCAAGTAGACAGTAAACAGTCTGATAAGATGAGAAAGAATAAACCTTTCCTTGCAACTCTTTCGGTTTGTTCTAGAGGGCAGTCTTTGTAAGAAAAGCTGAAAGAGGAGAAAGTGGTCTGAGTACCAAAAGAATGGGTCAGGCATTGACGTTAAAAGAGCAGTAATAAGCAGTGGACCTCTGCCAGGAGTAAAATATCTCAAACTAGGAAATTGTAGTGAGGAGCTCCCATAACAGAGTATCAAGGTTACAGGTGTTCTAAAGCTAAGTTTACCCCTGGTAGGTGTACCTCACCCAGTCCGCCAGCCTCCACCACTAGTGCTTCGTAACAACACTTCAACCTTGCTATCTTGAGAGTCAGCCTTTGGTCTCACAAGTTGAAGAACCCGTTAGTAGTTCCTCCTTATCCCTGTCTCAAGACCCCCAGGGGTTGCCTTTAACCATGTACAGAACCCTATCTGTACTGTGTTTTCCCTATAAATACACACCTATGACAAAGTTAAATGTATAAATTAGGCACAGTAAGAAATGTACAGTAACCAAAAATAGAACAATTTTTAAAATACACTATTAAAATTTATGTGAATGTGGTCTTTCTCTCAAAATGTCTTACTGTACCATACTCGCTCTTCTTCTGGTGATGATGTGAGATGATAAAATGCCTACGTTTTGAGATGGAGTGAAGTGAATGATGTGGGCGTTGGGATGTAGTGTTAGCCTACTGTTGACCTTCTGATGATACGTCAGAAGGAGAGTCATCTTTGGGTGATCTGGATCATCAAGCCATGATGATATTGATGGTTGGAGATCCCAGGTGGGACAGAGCAGGATGGTGTGAGATTTCATCATACTGCTCAGAATGGCGCACAATTTGAACTTATGAATTGTCTGTTTCTGGAATTTTCCACTTAATATTTTTAGACTGTGGTTGACCATGGGTAACTGAAACCAAGGAAAGAGGAAACAAGGAATGGGATGCGGGAGGGGGAGGAGGAGGCCACTGTACTTTTTTGTAAGGAGGGAAGAGAGAAAGCCACAGCTGGGCAGGACTATGGCCCGGGACTCTGCCCAGCGCTGCAGATACACACCCCTGCTCAGGTCAGATGAGGAACTGGAGGCTGAGTGCTCAGGTGAAAAGCTGCAGGCAGGGGCTGCCAGTCCCTGTCCAGCTGCATGCCCAGCTCTCCCTGCCCTGCAAGGAGAAATGCATCATTTCTCCTAATGACACTACGATATTTACTCAGGGAAAACGCCCACCTCTTAGCTTCCCCGCAGCCCGCTTCCTTCATACGCCCAGGCGTTTGTCTGCATCTGCAGATTGGCTTGGATCAGCAGGACTCCAACTGTTGACTCTTCTGCGTTCTGATTCTTCTTGCTGCTGTAAGGTTGGGTTGGAGCTTTTCTTAAAAACAAACAAACAAACAAAAACGAAACAAAACAGAAAACCTTCTTAAGAAACTACGGGGAAAGTAAAACAAATAAAAAGCATAGAAATAGATAAGCTTAAAGTGTTCAGATCTCTTATCCGACCTCAATGAAATTAACTCTGCTGTGATAACTAATAGGACTCCCAGGCCATCCTTATCCTACGGGTGTTT